GGTGCATGAGCATTTGGAGCAAAGTTTGAGGCTTAACGTTCCCCAGAAAGCCCGTCAGTTCCTCCCTGGTCATGATTCCATTTGGTAATCCTTTAGGGTGAAATACTTGGTTATTTTTGTTGTTGTTGTCTCTGTAGTGGTTGTGACATTCAGGGCTCCCATGGGCATGTGTTGGCTTTTTGCCTCTACCTTTCCCAGGAGACTGTGTTGATATCAAGGGAGAAATTACTATCTTCCAGTTTAGTCCTGTAGCTTCTTGTTTATTTTTGAATGTTACACTGACAATATCTTCTTTTTGCTCTTCAGGTGTTTACAATGTGTTTGTCTAGTGTTGTAATGTATTTTCAGTGCGCTGGTTGCTATATAATAAATACTATTATGAATGAAACTCCACCCCTTTTAGAACTATTCTCCCTTATGGGAGTTAGAAGTCCTCATTTCCCGTTTGCCAATCCTCATTGGCCTCATCAAGGATATTTGTGAGGACCTCCATGGATTCCATGGGAATTGGGTTCTAAGGTACAGGCCCACGTCAGTTAACATCGATCACACATCATCCCAACAACAAGAACAAGTGCAGAGGAAAGAAGGAGAGGCCACGGGATAAACTGGAGGACGGGGCCTCCTCCGAGAGCCGTGTCCTTCCTGGGGAGGGTCCCAGAGCCTGGAGACCACACGCTCCTCACAGTGGAATTTCCAGGGAAACCAATACCCAGCTCCCTGAGGGGTCGGGATCCAGAGAACACACATCCCGCCAAGGCCAGGAGCAGGGTATGCACAGGGTGTGGCAGAGGCTGCCTGGGCTCCCAGGTCACAGAAGCTACACTTCCGCTTTGCTTTCTATTGAATTTTAGTTCTGAATGACAGTGACAGTCAATGGTCCTTTGTGTTTGTTTCATGGGTATAACATGGTGGATAGATAATCATATGCTTTACAAAGTGACCCCTTGATATTTCCAAACCCACATGGAAACATAGGCAGTTCCTACAATGTTAGTCAGTGTATTCTCTATGCTATATTTATATGGGCGACTGTTTTTTATAACAACCACCAATTTATACCTCTTACTCCCTTCAACATCTTCACTCACTCCTCCATCCCCCCTTTCCTCTGGCAGCCATCACTCTGTTCTCTGAATCTATGAGTTTGATTACATTTTCTTCATTCATTTCTTTTGTTATTTAGGTTCCACATGTGGGTGAAATGATCTGGTGTTTGTTCTTCTCTGTCTGACTTACTTTACTTTGCATAATACCCTCTAGGTCCACCCATGGTGTCATAGGCTTTCATTGTTGTTTTTCTATAACCGGGTAATGTTCCACTACATAGAGTCAATGGTCCTTTGTGTTTGTTTCATGGGTATAACATGGTGGATAGATAATCATATGCTTTACAAAGTGACCCCTTGATATTTCCAAACCCACATGGAAACATAGGCAGTTCCTCCAATGTTAGTCAGTATATTCTCTATGCTGTATTTATATGCCTGCGACTGTTTTATAACAACCACCAACTTTTACCTCTTACTCCCTTCAACGTCTTCACTCACTCCTCCATCCCCACTTTCCTCTGGCAGCCATCACTCTGTTCTCTGAATCTATGAGTTTGATTACATTTTGTTCATATTTATTTCTTTTGTTCTTTAGGTTCTACATGTGGGTGGAATCATCTGGTGTTTGTTTTTCTGTGTCTGACTTACTTTACTTTGCCTAATACCCTCTAGGTCCATCCATGGTGTCATAGGATTTCATTGTTGTTTTTCTATAACCGGGTAATGTTCCACTACATAGAGGTACCAGCACTTTCCATCCACCTTTCTCCTGACGGGCACTGAGTCGCTCCCATAGCTCGGCCATTGTAAAGAAGGCTGCAGGGAGCATGGGGTGCATGTACTCCTTCCAATCAGAGCTTCCGGTTCTTGGGAAATACACCCAGATGTGGAGTCACTGGGTCATGGGCAGTCTTCCTTGTAATTTGGTTGTTGTTGCTAATCCTCACCTGAGGGTATTTGTTCTACTGATTTTCAGAGAGACAGGAAGGGAGGAACACCCATTTCCACCCTCGCTCTTTCCTTCTGCATTTCAGGCTGAGCCAGTCTGAGCCAATGAAGAGGTTTTGGTTGCACTTCCCCATGGGTTTACATCACCGTGTAAGTATCAGTACTACTACCCGTGTACAGAGCACAGTAGTACTCGGCCTCATCCTCAGGCTGAGCCCCTGAGATGGTGAGGGCGGCTTTGTTCCCAGAGATGGAGCCAGAGAAGCGATCAGGGACCCCAGAGGGGCGGCTGTTTGTGCTGTAGATGAGTGTGCGTGGAGGCTTGCCTGGGGTCTGCTGGTACCAGCTGGGGTAGTTACTACTAGAGATGGCCCCAGAGCTGAGGCCACAGGTGAGTGTGACTGTCCCTCCTG